GGCAGGGCTACTCAACTTGGGAAGCCCCGGGGGCTACAGTAATACTCATAGCACATGTCAAGGGCCACAACTTAAGTGTGATCGCATATACATGCAAATATATATGCAAATATCCATTCTTTCATACTGACAGGCATAAATACAAAAATTGAGGTAAGTCTACACAATACGCAGGCCCCATTTAAGTCAGCTTTGCTTATATTAATAGCAATAGTTCAATATTTACCCAATTTCCACCCATGTGGCAGCACTTTTAATGAGCAATGACAGTCCAGGAATTTAACTGCTAAAACACATATCAACAGAAGACCATTATATTGACTACTTTTTTGTTTGGGCTTCCATCCACAGGCTGCATGTTGAGTAGCCCTGCCCTAAGATGTGGTTGTATTTATTGTCTTATTGGGTTCTGGGGAGCTGGATGAGCTTGCACTGCTAATGGATCCTCTCCCAGCCTGTGGGGAATATCCACTGAGCCCAAGGACTCAAATAATTACAGGGAAAATAGAAAATATAACAAGTGCAGGTATGAAGGTCAAAGGTTCGAAACAAGAGAACCCAAAGGGAGTACCAAGCAGAGACTCCTGGGCAGCACTAACTGTTCTTTGAAGGCTTCAAAGGAGCCAGTGGATGCCACCCAGGGGAAATCTGACATGTTTGATGTTGACAAAACTCACTCACAGAGAACCCCCTCAGCCAACATCCTCTCCCGGGCCGCTTTGGCCATTGCTAGGATGAGGTAGACAAGAAAGTCCTGTGCCTTTGGGGGCTATGGATAGGATGTCTACATATGAGAAGGTGGGAGGAAAAGTGAAGCCAAAACATAAAAGAAGATCCAGGAGGAGCCAGAATGGGATGCAACTAGGTGCACTTAAGGTAGATATGCAACAAGGTCCTGCCATGAGGGCAGGGGACTGGACTCGATGACCTCTCGAGGTCCCTTCCAGTCCTAGTATTCTATGAAGGTCTCCCTCACTCCACAAAAGGGACAGACATTAGGGAGAGGTGTGAATGCCTGTGCTTACGACTCCGGAGGGAGCTGACAAGCAATATCCCTTACAGGCCACGGTACCAGGGTGGAGTAAAGGTTGGCTAACCAGAGTTCCTCACCATCATGAGGTGGCAATAGGTCCCACTACTTAGCATTGGGATGGGACACAAAGGTGAGGAAACGGAGAGTATAGAGCATAAACATGTACAGATGTGCCCTCAGCGAACAGGCTGCAGGTCAGGCTGTACTTATTATATTGAGTAGGAAAATGTTTTGATCAGTTCACAATCTACTCAGCTTACAAAGCACCTACCAAACTTTGTCTTGGCCTGCATAGCTTAGAACAATTGAAGAACTCTAGTAGGCTTGACTGCAGAAACCTATCAACCAAACAGGATTTCACATATAAGTGCCAAGACTAAGCATTGTTCCGCAGACACCTGGGTCAAAGCAAGCATTTCGACCTGCCCATTGTTAAAACAAGTTGTTACACTTGTTATCTGCCTAAATGAAGTTTTATAGGAAGCTGTAAGAGTGAAAGTCTCCGATCACACCATTTAATTCCAATTAATTTCTGTGCCTCTAATGGTGAAGTTCTAATCCTCCTGGAAATGAAGCAATTATCACATTTAGCCAAAATATGTTAGGTCAACATTTTTAAAGGTATTTACACATTGCTGTGGTGCTCAGCATTGAAATGGCTAACTCAGGGTTGGGGAACCTAAAGCCTGGGGGCTGGATGTGGCCCTCGGCTTGCCTGGATCCAGCCCCTGAGCCTCAGGGCTCCCCCCCTAACATTGGGGAGCCCATGCTGGTGTTCCAGCCCCCCTGCCACCTTATCTTGGGGCTGGAGCACATAGAATCTACTAGCTTGGGCCCTGCTAGGCTCTGGTGTGCGAAGGGAGTGAGAGGAGTGTTTTTCTCCTCAGTTGGGGGCTACTTCAGTGAGGGTTTGTTTTTTTGGGGTTCTC